TAAATGCGATAACTGTGCAGGAGCCCTGATATTTTTAAAGTCCCCAACTTTGTATACAATTCCTCCATGTTTATATCTGTATTTATGAAGTATACATGAAAATTGATATGTAGGTATAATTTGATTAAAATCGCTAGAGAACATGTACACAATTTATTATTTATATTCGAATTAACTATAAATGAAGATGTTTTCAGGATTAATGTATTTTTAGGACATCATCGCACGATTCAAATTCCAGCGAATACATTTTATTAGAAAATACATTATAATTTTAAAATTTATCTTTTGATAAAAATTTCTTATTTATACATGTATGTGTGTGAACGAACATACTACTTGTAGTTACATATACTACGTATATATGTAAGACGTACTTGCTCAAGGAACGACTATGAATAACGTCCATTCGCTCGGTGCGACGATCAAGTGACCGTGTTCTGTCGCAGCCTCGCGAAACGAGGGATGGAGGAGGGTGCTAAGTAAATTTCGCTGTCGGGTCTCGCCGTAAGATAGGTTGGAAGAGCGATATATACGACGCTCGATTTCTTCTCTCCTACGTGTCTGCCGAGACTCTTTATCTGGATTCGTAAATACCGCCGGCATCACGCCCCGCTTCGCCCTCACCTCCTCTCGTTCTTCCGCGGCCCCCGTTCTTATCCTCCCTTCCCTTTCCGCCCTCTCTCGTGCCCCATATCTTTCGATGTCTCTTCCTTCCGCGTGTCTCGCATCGTCGAAAAAATTATACGTATCTGGAAACTTCATGCATGGGCACGAAGACGCCTGCGAGAGAGACGATCCGCGGAGCGGATGGCGATAGCTCCTCCGCTGGACGATGATGGAGCACCCCCAGTCACGCACTTTCGCGTGTCAGCCGCGCTCATGTACCGAGTGCCCTAGAATCGGCAGGAAGAGGACTTATAATGTTATCCTCTTCGAGATTCAAAGCGAGTGTTTGATGTTGAAAACGATTTGTCGAGTTAGTTTGCGGACTATAAGCTTTATGAAGAGATCATATTCTTCAATTAATTTCAAGGGAACTTTAAGAAGAGCTTTATTTCAGGCCTAATACGATACAGATGTATCGTATTAAAAATTGGAAATTTGATAAATAACAATTACGCGCTCCAAATCTTCACTAAGGATGAATAATTATGATATTGCTTAAACGTATGTGTTCAACACCAACGGAACGTTTTATTAGCCTTCTGAATGATCTAAATTTATAAAATTTATTTTTATAATTAAATAATATAAGATAATTTATCCGTGGAAGACGTGAGATTTATACTTGTCGCAAAAACGTTTTCTCGCAAAACGCGAGAACGTTTTCAACGCTCGAGCGAGAACGTATATAGTTCGACGTTACCTAATTTTGCGTTTATCCTTCGTATTTTCGGAGATCGCGCTGCGTTCCTAGGTGTTAAACACATTGTATTACACTCCTGGGATTAACAATTACACGTGCGATAATAGCATAATGTTACAATAGAATTACGCGCTTGAGGATTACATGGTTTAATTAATTAAACAATCAACCGTTCCAACCAACGATACGTTACAATTTCCGGGAAAAGGATGGATTGTGAGCTATACGCACATCCATCTTGCTCGCTATTTTCTGCTGAAAGAATAGACTTTTCCCCGTTTGTACTATCCAATTTCGTTCAACCACTTTATTATGTCTCCCGTTTCCATCTTCATTTATCTCCTCCGGCCAACCCTTCCCCCCCTCTAATTTTTATTCGTCCGCGTTCGAAGCTTCGTCCTGGTGCCCCGAAAACCTCGAGTGCGAAGTATCGGAAATAAGATTACCCGCGTTATTTCGCGCGGAGCGCGGCGCATTACATAGTTTCATTATAGCGCATCAATTAAAACTTCGCAAGTCATTAACTCGCGGAGATTTACCCTCGACGTAGAGTAACGACCTCCTTCTCTATTTAGTCCCACCCGATTTACGCTCTCCCTCTTTCTTTTCCGACCCCATCTCCATTTATCTCATCTTGCTTCTCTCTCTTTCTCTCCACCCTCTCTCTTCCCTCACGTGCGTTACATCTCCACCCCGGTACACACCCCTACGCGCTACGCGCTCCTTCCCTTTCACGGAACCTCTTTGCCTTCGCGTTTCTCGGGGGCTCCGAAGCTTGAGCGTGTAATCTTCTTGTTCCAAAACTTGTTCCGCGCGACGCCCCTTATCCGGAACTTGTCGCGGGCATTCCCACCTGGGGGGAGAGGTAGTGACAACTTTCCGCAAACAATGATTACAAAGGCAGAACTGACAAACATTCGCGCAGGAGTGGGGTGAGCGGTAGATTGCCATCTATCTCGGCGATGTTACCTGACTGCTACTTTCCGCGCGCGCGTTTTCGCCTCCATTGTTCGGATTGTATATGGCTTGTCATTAACTTTAACCTGGGTCGTTACAGTTTTACGAAGTATATATTCCGCGCTGTTACGTTACACGCGCTGCATCACTCGACACGCAGAAGTGATAGGATTTAATTGAAACTCCGAGTGGGAAAAAAGGAGGAGACGCATGAAGTAATCTGCGTAACGATGATTAATTATGCCTGACATTATGAGTGTATATTTAAACAACGTTTGTGTATACACGCGGAAAAAAGCGGAGTTAAATTCAGCGTAAATAGATAAAATATAATTCAGTAGAAGATTTATTCGTCCACAGTGAAGACAGTAATTCAACTTTATACGCAACAACAAAATATTAAAAAACTTAATATTACATTGTAACATTTAGTATGCGTTCAAGTAAATATATTTTATATTTAAACCGAGATAAAATTTTTGCCCGAAATAATTATTAATTTTATTTGCAACTCCGGTATAAATTGTATTTTTCGAGATGCAGAGTTGCGAGAAAAATATTTAATCTGCTTATACTGATTGTGAGCGAACTAAGCTTTATATATGCAGATTCGATTCGAATTTCAGGAACGTTAATCGTTAATTTCAAGAACATCTCCGAGCCTCTTCCGGTCGCGATTTTCTGTGAGCGTACCAAGTTATTTGAGCGTGCTTGACCATAATTCATCGCAGGTGTCGACTCGCTGAGCAAGCAGTTCGTGTGGCTCTACGAATTTACGTTAATTTCCACGAGGCCGGGCCACGTGCGCCGACAGGAGTTCCGAAACGGGCAAGTAGAAACGGCCGGTTAAAGTCAGACAAGCGTGCGTATGCGCCACTCCTGCAGCAGCGAGTTCACTGTGCTCTCGGTCGTAAGATTATAAAGGTATGCTCGCGCTAAATGAAATACATGTCGCTACAAATTCGCCGCAAATTCGATCACGGTCCTAAGATAATCTTTACGTTGTTTTCAAAATTAATAATTAATTAACTAAACCTTGCCACTTACTCCATTTTATGAGTGTCGATTAACTGTAGCGCGTTTCACCAAACTCCCAGGACTTACGTCAAAATAGTTACATTTATTACCGGAACAGGAAATGTACGTTCTTAAGCGCTGAAAATATGAGATTATGATTTTTCCGATAAATTTTCTTAAGGAATATGCAAGAAGATTCACTCCTTGCGCCAGATCGTATGCGATTTGAATCTACGTACTTGTAAGCAAGGTTTTGATGCGATGTGGCGTATTACTCGAGGTGAGGTCAAAGGGAAAGACGACGAATCCGTGACGACGGAGGTCTCCCTTCGGGCGATACTCAGAAAACTTTTCCGGGTGCCAGGCATTAGAGTTATTTACCGCGGGAAGCTCCATTTTCGGCGGCTGCACTCACCCACGAGTGCGAAGGCAACGCGATACTTATACAGGGCGGGTCATAAAGGCCGCCATAAATTGCACCCTTGATAAAAGTAGCTATATTTAATGCCGGCCACCCGCGGGGGGTACACCTGAATACGAATTCATTCGCCCTGACAGTGGCAGCGTACATTTTATCCGCAGAATACGACGCGAGTTCAAGAATCGCGCGCGCTTTTCAGCCCGGGATCACGGTATACTTCCTCCATTGTGCGTCCCGCTTTGTATCCCCCGCGGAATCCAGTGGGATCGACTCGGGGAAGTGTGATATTACGACACAGTCGTGAAATATAAAAATTATTACAAGCCGGTCCCTTTTAATTTTATTTTCCCGCAATTTTTGCTAATAAAAGTTTCTTCCGCGTAATTTTTTCCGCGCGTAAGTTCGTCGTCTGTAAGCAGGGTTGATTTATTTATTGTAACAGAGTCAAATGAATATGCTAATTACAATAATGTATTTTTATAGATCTCTTCACTTCTGCGTCTATTCTCTTTCGTAATCAATGCTAAACACTCACATGTTCTTCTACATACGGTAATTAAAAACGAGCTTAGGTAAATAAAGTAAAGACATAATTTATACTTCAATTATCTGTAATTAACAATAGAAACTTTGAATGACTATAAAACTATAAAATATAAGCAAAAATGCAACAATATGGCTATGCATAATAAAGCTTTTTTTGCTGTCACTCCGCCTGTAAAATAATATTATTTTGCTATTTGTGCACATTGTGACAAATACGCGATATGAACTTTTAATGAGTCGCGCTACGCGTCTCAAAGAGATAAAAAATAAAGAGGGCGCAGTTTAGAACAACGGGGCAATTCTGAATAATATTGTTTTTCGCGTTTCACGTAAAAAAAAACGGCCAGCTTTTGGACAAAAGCAACGCAATAAATTACGAATGTGGGACTCTGAGCAGACAGTACAGCTTTTTGACGGGAAACGTGTGACAGTTGTTGACCTAAACTGTCAAAAAAGCTGTTATTGAAAACTGCCCCGCGTACAATTCTCTTGCTTAAACTGTCTTTTTCTCGAGTATATTCGTATTACTGTTGAAACTGGTACGCGAGATCACAATACACACGAAGGAAAGCGTGGGCAAATATACAATACCTAATTCGCTACATTAGGTCAAAGTGAAAAATCTATATTTTATATATGTTAGAAATAAATTGCATTATATATTTCTTTCATCAGTTCTGTCAGTTCCTAATGGCGAGAAAGATGTTCCTGCTCAGTTTTCTCGTGTTATATTGTTGGAGAAGCGAGGGTTTTACGTCTAGATCGAGAAGACAGATATTGTTCCCGCCGCCAATCGTCTACCCATATGGAGGAACATTCAAGGTATTTTTAAGCACTTATTAACTCTAGAGAGTATCACTTTTTCTCGGTACGCGCGGGCGTAATATCGCTTCATTGGTTTTTAACTTTATCGTTACGAAGTTCCTCGCTTCGAGTCGAGGTTCCTGATTAGTTTGGGAATTAATTTTTGAAGTACTTCTCGCTGCGCGCGTATTTGAAAATTTTCTGTGTCTGAATATTTCCCTCAAGAAGACGCGCTAACTAATTACGATTCTCGCGGCGTAATACTTCGCCGAGCGAAATGATGGCGAGTCCTCTTCGCGAAGATGCGGATTCTATCTCACGGCAAATATATTCCACCTGACGAACTAATGATACTCCTATCTGTAGACATGCTAGATTTCTGTAATCATTCTGCACAGTCTAAATCCTACTGAAATTTAAGTTTTTATTTATTTCCCAAAGAAATATTCTTTGCATAGTGAAATTTCAGTTTCATTTCGTTGTCTCGTCGTTTTAACATTAATCGTTAAGTAAAAATACAATTTATGTAGCTTCTCTACAAACGTGACTCGAACACAACGTCTAATTAATAATTTAATTAAAATGCCTGTCATTAATTATTTACAGCCTTTATACTGGAAGCTACAATTTGTAATTTATTATTTGTTAAGTCAGGAAAAATGTTGCATAGATTGAAACATCTAATTATAAAATATTTTATATCTATACACATTTTAGTTTTTATAAATAATAAAAAATATAATAAAAAAAGTTGAGAAAAAGCGAAAACTCGGTAGATAAAATTTTATTTTATTATACATTAAAATTTATTCATAATTATTCTTTCTGAGCTTTCTCGTTAAATATTAAAACAAAAATTGCTCTCACATACATTACATTATCCTGTGAACATCTCTACAAATTTATTCAAGCCGAGCTTAATTAACACAGTGGGATCGAAATCATCTCGAAGGCAAAGTAACGAAGCACGTTAAATTTTCTTTAAATTACAATTTCACGCTATCGGTGTCAGTGCTGCTAGTGTCTTCGGCGGCAGGAAAAGCAGGGGAACAAATTTAAATGGCGGGTATGTCCCGGCGTTCGCCACAGGACGCCATTGATAATTAACTGCAGTTTTATCTGCGGTCCGCCCTTAAATCCACTAATTAAATTGGAAAACTCCTGCTGTGCAGTTTTCGCAATTGGATGAGACGATTCGATGTCGTGATGGGTTGTTTGTCTTCGTTTTCTCGCTGCCTCTACGAGATATTCTCGGTTATTAGTACTATATCTACCTCCTTCTCGGCCCTCTCGCTCTCTCTTTCTCTCTAAAGGAAGGAAAACTTAGGGAAAATTAAACGAAAACTCAATGGAGTATCTGATCAGTGTGTAAATAAGTGGTTTTAGAATTGTAGGAGTAATCAGTAATGAAAGAATATTAGTTCTTCCTCTTCACTTTCCCGTTTCGAGCTTTGCTACCCGATTATAGATGATAGAAACTGAAGAGGATTAATATTACTTTAAATCTAGATAAATAATGTATCTATATAATTATAATTATAATTATAATGTTCATAAATTTTGTGAGCGATACTTAAGACATTTATTTGCAAATTATCAGAAATTAACGCTGTATGTGTCTTGACGAAATTTTATATTTTTTAACATCAAAAACATATTATCTGCATTGCCATTGCGCATCGCAATTGTTATTTTTTTTATATTTACTTATTTTTTATTTTAATATATAGCCTTTCTTCAGAACTCATTTCTCTCGTCTTTTGTAAATACATTTTCTACTGCCGTGCAATATAAAAATAATGTTTATCAGCAGAACGTAATTGAGAAAGAGAGAATTTAGTTATCATAAATTGGCAAAATGTCAAGGTTATATCATTTCTTCCAGCATAGGGAAAATATCGCGGAATAATGCTAAAAATATAAAACACGACGTTCCAGAAAGAATTTGGCAGCATGAACAATCGTTGAACTTTTTTTTTTTACTATTCCGTGAAAATAGAAAGTAAAAAAATTTCGTAAAACGCAAATGCACGAGAGACAAATTCAATTCACGCGATTAATGCGCATGAAAGGGTATCGAAACATGGCGCGCTGGCATACATACGTATACAAACGAACGGAGTAAAACGACGTCACGACCGTTCGCGTTATAACGTGGAGATAGTCAATTGTTCTCCCCGGAAAGTCGAGAAGACCTTTTAATCCAAGGAGCAGCGCGGTAATTGTAAATATTTGAATGTTTGCCTTTTAAAACGCCGGCGGCCAAAGGGGAAAGGCGAATTGGGAGCGTTCTCGGGTCACCGCACGTGCAAACTCGCGGAGGAAATTATGTCGAGATTGGATTGTGATTCGCGACGAGCCCAAACGAGCGGTGAAGAGCGGGAAAGACGAAGCTCTTTCTCCTCCGGAGTATTGCTTTCCGCGCAGTGAATACTGCCATATGCGCAAAATGCATCGTTAATAAAGTGCGGCTTGAATATATTTCGCGAATGCTCCCGTTATTGTATGCTTGTTGCTACGATATTGGATTACATACAATGTCCGTTAAATACCGCGAGGGAAGCTCGCCGAAGCATGGTGCCACAAGAGGCTTGCGTGCGTTTCTTCTCGAGATCGGTAGCACCCACCGCTTTAACAAATGTGCAATATCCGTAACAGAGGTAAATTCCCAGGTAAACAATTGGAATTACAAAGCTCGGGCTACGATCGCGGCGGGAGCCTCCGGGATTCCTGGATGTAAATACGTTCCGAAAATGCAATAGCAGAGAAAACAAGACGCCGCGCGCCCCCGCGCCGCCGCGCGCGCAGCGCGCGCTTCGGCGTCCTTCCGGGGCGAACAGATATTTAGAATGGGATATCGATCTCTCTCCTGCTTCTTCCAATAAGTAGAGGACGATCGGTCGAGGACGATTCGTCGTCCGTCCCTCGCGGCAGGACGACAAATTCAGATTCCTGCAATGTATACGGGTCGCTGCATAACGGAAATGTTGTGCGATTCGCAGTGGTTCGTCGAAACCAGACTGGCTGTAGCGCGAAAAACACAATCGGTAGAAAAGATAAAGGCATTCGTATGCGAGCTGGATATTAAACTTCGGAGAAAAAAAATCAAGGCAAACGTACAATATTACATTTTTCAACTCTAAGACGATGCTCGAATCTCGGGAAATTTGTGTCTTGTGCAAAAAATTATATTTCGAAAAAATAAAAGTTTTATTTCTTTTTTCTCTTACGTAATACTCGTTTTTGTGTTGTGACGTACTCTTCTATCATTTTAACAAATACTTTTTTAAATGTTACTTTTAAATAGTTACTTTGCACTTGAAATATTTTTATATCATATTGCTACAGAGAGGTTTAAATTCTTTCTATTTGCGAACAAAATACTTCTCTCACCTCGTTGAACGAGACGGACAAGAAACGGAAAAGGTAAACACGCTCGTTGTGTCCATACGGTGTATTTGTACAAGCTTTAACGAAAATTTTAACACAAGTAATTATATAGTACGAAATAACATCTTTGGGATATAAAACGAATACTTCACTTAGCATTATTACATTACTCATGTGTATCGCCCGTATTTTCATAACGTTTTTCGAGAAGCAGGAAAGCGTGACGTAAAGAGTTAATGTAAATAAATTGGCAGCCTGTCTTGGCGACGTCGGTTAGCTTTTGCATAAAGGATACGCCGAGGCATCTAAGCAAAGTAGAAGAGCGTCGCGCGTCATAAAAACTAATGTAGGAGGAAGGACAGGTCTGGCGGGTTGCCAGAGAGTTGTAAGTGGCTCCTCCGTCATCTGCAGGTTGCGAAAATAGCGTAAGGATAGAGACATCTCGTCCATGGACAAAGCTGCAATTAAACTACCGTAGTCGAGGAAACGTGTGGTGCAACGTGAAACACAACAGGAGCCTTCTCTCAATATTCCGCGTTGATGCGTCTTACTGCACAAAGTTTCGCGCACGCTTTTCATTGTCTATCCCTACCTATCCGTTTTTCGATACGGGAGTATAGTGGCAGCGTTCTTGCCTCCTCTCTCGCATTTTTCTTCTCGGGGCCGCTCATCAATCTCTTCTCGATCGCGCGCGCTGCGATCGGACCATCGGTTGCACATCTTCACATTCAACAGACGCCGATATTATCGTTATTGGTGTTTCCCCCCTCCCCCTCGCCTCGTGCCGTATCTTTGTTTGCGCCGTGCCAAGCTAGACCAGACATAGGTTTTTTTCTTTCATTTCGCGGGTGATTTACGACACCGCGTAATCTCTAAAATGAATTCGCGAGACCTATATACTCGTCTATTCCCACCAATCTCATTTTTTACGGCCTACACATACCGGGTATTAGCATATAAATTTTTATGCGTCTATCGCGAGATGGCATCAGCGACGACGCTACTCAGCATCCGCGTCCTCCGAATTGCGGCGGGAAGCGCCCGGTTTCTCTCGCCCTCTCAATTCCCCGTCGTGTGCTGACTCGAGAAAATCACGAAATTAATTTCCGTACGTTTTTTTTCCTCGTATCTTCGGTCTATACTTTTCCGGATGAGCGAGTAAACTGCCCCTCGCGATATATCCGCTCGCGGCCAGTACCTTTTACTCTAGCTCCGACCGAGAGGAAGTGACGCTTTTATCTCGATCACTTGAGAAAGAGATAAATCCTTTATTTTTGAGGATAAAGGAAAGGAGATGTATCCTGCGCGAAAAAGAGAGAGAGAAGAGGAAGGGGAGAGGGAGAAACGGAGGTAGCCCTGTGATTTAAACCACGATCGTAAGATCCTTCGAGTTCTTCGAGAAATATGCAAACGTGTCTGATCCGTCTCGATGTTACTTTGGTTGGAATCTCGCAGCGCTATTTCGTGAGAAATTTTCGAGGAAAGTTGTCACTCGCTGCAACTCGTATCGCTCCTTCAATTTTATTATAATTTTTGTTTTCGAACATTCGTGATTCTTTTATCAGAAAAATGTGTCTTATTTACATCGTAATTCCCGGTCTATCCGAAGCGCATTCAGATATCTAAATATATATTGAGAATACTTGTGTAAATAGCTGAACTAATATTCTTGTGATGTAAGCACGCGGATACATTCGTTGAAATTCATCTGCTCGTTGTATCTGTGATAAGCTCATCGTGGGATTTGCAGTGCCCGTACAGCTCTCAGGCAGGATTTTAGTTTACGGGCAGAACTTACAGTTCCAATACCTCTTGCCGCAGAACGCGACACTCTTCACGGAGTTCTTCGCATCGTCGTCTTCGCGACGACGACGTGAAAGCGTTAGCTGGAACGAAAGAATGACCGTCTACCGTCTCTTGGAGGAGGAATTCGAGAGGTAAGCGTCATCTCTCCATGTGAGATATCTCGAGCGAAATTTACCACGTTATTTGCGGATATACGCGTCCTGAGATACGAACACTTCAGCAGATATTTGAAGAGATAATTAGCGGGTAGCAGAACGTTTGAAGAAATAATTAAAAGTTTTCCTTCGCGACAGAGTCGGGCAAAATTATCTGCAAGGATAGAAAGTATCATTTTTTTTCGTAAAAGTATTTTTTACATATAATGACCTAATTAACGTATCAAAACACATGCGTAAACAAAAGCGGCAGATAATTAATAATATTTTATTTGTTTATTCAACTGTAATTAAACAACTGCTGCGATTATACATGTATAATTGTTTTTTCTTTTAATAATCGTAATTCATAGAAGGGGAATAGATGGAAGAGAATGCATGAAGAAGAGCATATGCGAAACGGCAACGATGCCTTTAGAGGACGAGGGACTTGTAGGGGAATTGTTGCACCTTTTGCTCACGTAAGAATATTTAAATTTTAATTCTCGTACGAATTTAAGTATTGCTACGCCTCTTAAAATAGAGAGATATGATGTTTATTCATTTTAGGCCTCGAAAAAGCGACACACCATTAGACTCCGAGTATTTACAAGCACTAGAATTTGGACGAGAATATCAGGATTGCTCGGGGATCTACAGATCGTGTCTTCCTGGTCAAGGAATTTTAGATTACATTTCAAAAATAATATAATAAAGCGCAAAGTTATCTTCACGAATCAACTAATCTGGAAGAAATTTTTATGAATTTTTATGAAACAATTTAGACAAAGCAGTATATAACTTAATACTAAGAATTTATCATTGAGTTTAAACGTAAGCAGAAAAAAAATAAAAGTAGGATATACTTTCTGTTTTGGTGTTTCCCGACGGTGATATGTATTTAACGTGATTTGTATTATATGTACTGAAAGTAAAATATATTGACGGATAAACATTTCTCTAGGATCGAAATATACATTTTCAACAAGTGCTTTAGTTAAATAGCTGATTCTAAAAGCGGTATTCAATGTTTTTGTATGTGAACAAGAATTATGAATACACACGTGCACGAGTCTTATAAAAATATTTTTCAGCTAATCACACAGGGATATATGTGGAAATCTCTGCACCTATCGATAATTTATCCTTTTAGCCGCTAGGCGGTTGTAAGGTTATATATTAAAGCGACATTTAGCTTGAAAATTATAAATATTAAAAGAGTATTTGAATTTAGATTGATGTGTAGTAGTCAATATTAAGAAATTATTATTAAAACATCATTGTTGAGATTCAATAATTCCGTACATCTAAATCAATTTAAAAGTAAGAGCTCTTTAATTTCTCGATAACGATCATGTTCAGTAACGTCAACATATAAGGACGTGGCACAGAGTAAATTTCTGGATATTCTGATACTGCCCAGGGAATAATCTATGCTCTATGACGGCGAGTTTTATCGCCGTAAGAAAATTTATCAAGATTCGGGGGAAAAAGTGCTGCCTGCCAACAATGCAAAAAAAAACAAAAAACAAAAACAAAAAACAAAAAAAAACAAAAAACAGAAGAACGTAAGGTGTGCCCCGGGGCGCCCCCAGGCATCTCTCGGCACTTTTGTGCCATCTCAGGATCGCTCAAAGCGAGAGAAGAATGAAAGATACCTATCTTGGTAAATCTTTAATGTTGCGGACATTACTGAGGCAGTAACGTTGACTAATCATTTTGCAAACAAAAATAACGTTAAATTTTAGTCTTTTCCAATTCACGACAAGTCAAGATAAACTATTAGTAAAACTAAATTTTGATACATTGATTTTAATTTTGTCAGCCCGGTATTTATCTTTCTTACAGATCACAGCTGATTTATTTACGATTAAAATAATTTAAATTTGTTATTATTTTTTTAAAGAAAGAGTTTTCTTTGTCATAATTTTTTTAAATTTATTCATGACTATTATTAATTCGTATTGCAAAACTTTTTAATATTCCTCCATTAACACATCGATAATAAATTAAGTACTTTCAATGAGATTCTTTTATAAAGATAAAATGTAGAATATATTTTCGGCTACTTCTCACGGAATTATTTATTATGAGGCTTATAAAAGAGAAAAAGGATTCGATCGATTCGTAGTCGAAAAACCCGCGCAGAGAATTGCCGCGTTCAGTTATGCTTGAGTTAAATTAAGTACAATCATCGTATCTCTCTGGTTTAATGATAACCGCGTTTCTACTAATTGGTACGAAACGGTGGAAGAAGTCAAGACCGATTTAAGTGAGACAGAAAGTGCCGTTTTCACCGGATCTGTAGAAACGACTGTATTGAGTCGATCGATTTGGGGTCCTTAAGTTTCCGATGCAATTACTTTAAACAATAAGAAATAAAAATAACAGTTCTTAATAATTTCTTGGACTCAAAGCTACAAGCAGTAAAGAAAATTTTATCTTTTAGAGAGAAAAATTATATACTTCCTTTAAAGGAAGACAATCATTTTTGGTCACCTTTATTTTTCTTCTCTCTGTCTCTGCTTTTCCGGTATGATCACAGAAGTAATCGTACGTTCATCAAGGCTACTTTTAACAATATTCTTTTTTTTTCCTAATTCCAACGCAAGCTGTCTCTACATATAGAGACATTTAGCGAAGTTTTAGACACAGTAAAAGTTACGGTCTTGCAGGAAAAATGGATCGTGCTTCCCTTTTAACAATACTGTTAAAAGAATGTCAGGAAAGGCATGAAAGTAACGAGCTAAGCGAGTCTCGGATAATTTGTCGCTCAAAGAGCAAACATTCCGCGACGATCAGTTAAATACTGGATTCGTGAACCGGTAATTGATCGGTGCTTTCGGGGCGCGTAAAAGCGTGGCGTAGGTAAGTACACGTCGGTACTTCGGGGCGGGAATAACTTTCGCAGTTACGCTCGTTCGGAATTAAGCGGCCAGTGTATCTCGTGGAATTAACGCTAACCACGCTCCTCATAATTGGCAACGAAACGAGAGCCGAGACGAGAGCGAGAGCGGAGGTCGGAAACGGTAGGAGGGGGAAAGCCCCCGGGCGGAGAGGTTGCACGAGCGATCGTAGTGGTTGTTCGAGCTAAGCGTCGGCGGATTCTGGCGTAAAGCGTGTCACGTCGAAGATTCTCTCTCTCTCTCTCTTTCCTCCCTCTCTCCGTCTCTCTCCGCAAAACTCGGAACGGATTTCACAATAACTTTGTTCTCCTAAGTATCCCTTGGCCCTGATCCCGCATCCCTCGTCTCGACACCGCCGATTATGCGCCCGCGGTTTTGGTGCAGTGTCTACCTCATTCTCCTCGCGACAGCGGGACCCACGCACTCCGGAAGAGCAGTCAGGGCCCTGGCCTTCCGCAAAGGCAGCACCTTTTTCGTAAGTGTCACGTAATACTTCTTTTACGTGCGTTGAGCACGCAAGATTTTGAAGAAAATGTCGCTCTTTATTATTTTGAACGAAAAGTCGACTGTTAATTTGCGATTTTCTGCTTGTTAATTAAAACTAAAAATATCATTCGATTTTATATCTTTATTTGATTTTGAATTTATTATGGAATAATTATAGGAAAAAACAGATTTTAATTATTTTCTGTGGAATTTTTACGTGGAAATCAAAATGAGTAATGTTTATTCATCTTTGAAATAATGAAATAAATATTGCATAAAGTTTGTAAGATATGGATTTTGTAAATAACAGCTATAAGATAATTGAATGATTCTGTGAAAAATTTAACGAGATCCGCTAAAACAGAGACAATCGTGAAGAGGCGCTGCAGCATTGATGTTACAGCAACGCAAACTGCCTGAAACCAGTTTGCATCGTAAAACGCTCGGCATGAAAAAAAGTTAACAAACGTTAAATTGACGATTCATCAAATTTTGACGGCAGGCACACGATCGATTTAGCAATTTTCCACGTTACAGCGATTTCAGGGCAAACTGTAGCACAAAAATTATGAGCAGAACGCGATCATCGCGCGTCCGTCAAAATTGTGATGGACGTTATCTGTCTTGAGGAAGAGTCGAGTTAAAAAGTAAACGCGGTAAATATCGGAGACAGCTGCCTCCATAAAATAACGCAACCGTTCTAACTTCTAACGTTTATATGTCGCGGCTGTTCAACTGTAATTAAGCGACTTAATATCATGTAAATGCTCCGACTACATCAGAGCAGCAGCTAAAGGATTAAAGGCTACACACGCACACATGCGCACGCACACACACATGTCAGCCATAGATGGGCCAAGATCGCAATATTCTCACAGAGCATTCCGCAAATGATTGTTTTGCTTTGACCTTCTATGAGCTAAATTGAAATTCTACCGTGCGTAGAACGGATGTTTCTACGCGTTTGATTGGAACGCGCGCGCGCGCGCGCGTTTCTATCAAAAAATATCACTCCCGTGATAAAATACATATATTGCGCGCATATCGCTGGCGATCGTTAAATTTCATTGCGAAGAATGCCATCGGGAATATTTTGCGTCCTTGATGCGCGCGACGAAAATCTGGACGACAGACACACATATATATACCATTCACGATTAATTACATTCTCATTACGCGAGAATGCACCGTTCGTGAGAAATTCGCGGAATTTTTTTCTTTTTTATTTTACGCGAATTCCGTCGCGCGCGTCCAGTAATTGGCTCCGGCTGGTTTCGGTTTTTCCGCCGATTTCGGAATCGTTCTCTCGCCGCGAACCGGTCGCCTCTCGTGATACTCCAATATTCAAATGCTGAAAAAGGCTGCCGTGCTTTTTTCCCGGCCTCTCTCTCTCTCTCTCGCGAAACAGCTGCGCGCGCGGATACGGGGCATGTTATGAAAACACCCTACCGTAATTTATACGATTTCGCGTCCAGCGCTTCGTCGAACGCGTAACGCGGATATATATCTTATCTTTTCCCGAAGCTACTAGGTGCCCGTGCTACATGACGCCTCTGAGACTAAAGTTGCACGTTGAACCACGTAATGTAGGTTTATTTTTGACAGCCGTGGATATAAGCAGCAGTTTTCGAAACTTCTCGCATCGACGTGCTCTCTGCTGCGTATTCCCAAATGAATTCTTCGTATTGAAAGTTGAGATAGGGACGGAATTTATTTCTTGCTGATACGGAAAAGAGAGAAAAAACGGTTTTCGAAGCGTACGGTGTACACAACGTACACACAAGAAATTTACAATTGCGAGTTATGAGGACTCAGTTTTGTGACCGTCGGTTATATCTTACAAATCAGTCGTAACATAATTTTCGATCAAATCGTATAATTTCAAATTATTACAATCGCGTTTGGAAATAGACAGGCAGTATTTCGCGAATAAATTTTATCAAGATCGGTTATTACGATGTATGGAATGTAATGAATTGTGATATATGTGTGCACGAGTGTGTGTCCAGCAGATATTAACGAAAATACGAATTAATCCTATCTCAGGCTGAAGGGAATATGGGATATGTAAAATAGATGGAAATCCATACATTCGTGAAAAAAAAAAATGCATCGCTCGCAATTTCGACGTATTAAAGGGATGCGCGTCAATGGCGAATGGGCAAATGGTTCCGCGCCGTTCCGGGCGGATCGTAAAAAGCCGTAAGAATCAATGTTGTATAACCATATCCCCCCGTATCATCCCCCGTCCCGGTGCATAGACGGCACTGTTTATGCAGCCTCCGGCGCGCCGCTCTGTAACGCGCGAGGGTGAATTTATGCGCCGTCTACACGAGACCGGCTGTAATGTAAACCGATCGGAGCTGCCCGTATTTTCGCTTTAAAAGGCACGAAGTCGCGGTTGGGGGGAGGGAGGGGGCATATTTTGAAACACGATGTAGCGCGAGGCATTAATACGGGATGAAGCTATACGCTCTCTTCGCGACGTAAGTACATACACCAGGTGCGACAAATGCTTTAACACACGGAGTCGCATCAATTTTTGGTGTACTCGGAGTGTGTCGCGTTAGGACCGATGCGTCATGGTTGTTGGTTATTCGGAGGGAAAACGGCATTATTACGAAGCAGCTGGATCTGACAAGCCGGCAACTTTATGCTCGGCATTATCGTTAAGGTAAATTAAAGGATACGCCATAACGCTTTTTCACGAAATTAATCAAACGGTTCGTTCCGAATTTAAATTGAATTTTACTCGATATTTATTTAATTTGAGACTGATTTCGAGTATAAATTAATTTGAATTTTATACCCGATATTTATATACGTTATGCAGATTGGATAAATTACACAATTATATCGGAATCAATAATTGCCAATAAATGTGTATTTTTCAGCCTGCGGGAAACAAGATTGAGACACGTGCAATTCGCTCACATATTATTACATATTATTAACATAGTTGATTAAACAATTAAAAATTGCAAATTACAAATATTACAGATTATTGTTAATCTTTTTAAGATTGTATCGATTTATTGTTAAAAGCGCGCCGCGCTTACATTTATGTTAATTTGCTGACTTAATGCTATTTTAAACATATTTATTTCTAAAAAAATAGACACATATTATGCCCTCGCATTGGTAACTCGATCTTTTTCTCGAAGAAAGAAGCGGGTGTGTCTCTGAGACTTTAGCGTTCGCGAGCTATCCTCTGACAGAAGAATTACACAACTTGTAATCTAGCGCACTTATTACGAGGTACACCGCAGTATCGATGATACACGCCGTGTTTACCATGTACATTATCCGACGTACAGGACGGGAACAGAGCTTAGAATCAATATGCATGAATCAACGTTGTCTCGTTATATCCTTTCTACATACATCACATTATAGAAACATGATACATATTTAACAGATTATTTTTATCGGTGTTTGCGTAACATTACTCATACCTCATTATCTTTAAAACCGCTTTAATATCGTTATGAAATAATCATGTACTATTGTAGGAAAATTGAAAGCTTAAATTTATCTAATAATGAAATTAGTATATAAAATATTTATCTAAAAGAAAAAATTTAATTTGTTTATAATATGTTTATCATAATAAATACATCAATAAACACTTATTGATTTGATAATATAATTAAGTTCAGATTTATATTACAATTTTTATGCATCAACGTTTAATCTTTTAATTAAAAATTTTGTGCATGCCGGCGAACAGAGGGATACGCAAAATTACGTTCTGAGCTTCTTATCTGCCTCCCCGCAAGCGTTTTGCACGTGTTTTGAACGCAGCCGGAAAATTATGCACCATGCAACGATCCAGTGCACATATATACAGACTTCGTCTTGGCGGTTTCTGTCTGGCGAGCTGCGCATAAATCCGATTGCCTTATCGTATTTTCGGCCGCTAAGAAACGGGGGATGGCTACAACGCGGTAAGGTGGCGGGACACTGACAAACGGCTTGCCAGATCCAGACGACACCATCCTTCTGTCGCATTTACACCGTGAGCAATACCCTGCACGGCCGATTCCCACGGTTAATAGGCACCGCGGAACCGACACGGTTCTGCCTCGCCATTCTATTCGCGGCGGTTTCTTGCAAAGAGGAAAACGCCGGAAATCAAGCGCCGCGATTTAGACGCGAGGTAGACGTACCGGTGAATAATCGAGCATTATTGTTAGACAATCCAGCCAGATAATTGCATAAGATTAATTTTGTCATCTATGTTTTTCAAATCTAATCTAAATTTAATTGTTTGTGTAATTATGACATATATAAAGTGCCAATTCTCTAAATATTAAATCATATTAGAATAGAAGAATAGGAACAAGGCGGAAGAAACATCATGTTACGTTATGAGAAAGCTTATTAACCCTATTCGCTCCAACCAGACCTTTCGTGTCCCCGCGAGTTTCTAATCCTCGCATCATAACTCACGAACGAATTGACGAAATTTAATGTTCCAAAGCGCAAATTAAAGCTACTACTTTTAGCATTAATTTGCGCTTTGGAACATTAAATTTCGTCAATTCGTTCGTGAGTTATGATGCGAGGATTAAAAAGGCGGAAAAAGGGGTTGGAGTGAATAGGGTTAAGTCTCTGACGATCTTTCCAATATCTTTATTTAACGTTTTACGAATGCGTACAAATTGCTATCCGAGAACTTGTTTACGAAAGATCAAAGATCGACGCGAGTGACGCGAACTTCTCGTGGTATTGCTCGCGCGAGTAATGGGGGAATAACTCGGGGGAAAATCACAGCGCGGTGACGCAGTTTTACGATAAGTGTCTCGTTATTTATGGCCGAACATAAAGATTTGATCACATCAGAAGGATGGTCCCGCGACGGAGGGTGGAAAATAATTCGCTCTTACGCGACGCGAGAGAGTCACCGGTAACGTTCGCGAACCCTCCCGTTTTCACACGCAGATAGCGGAATAATTCGCAACAGTAATTCGGATAAGACGAAAATCGCCCGAGCAATTCCCGTTCTATATAACCGCGCCGGGGAATTGAACGGCTTGATCGAAAATTCACGAAGTTCCTTTATGAAGATTACGGCGATTTCATACGCGCTCGCGAGAGATCCTTTGATACGAACTTATGATTTTGGGATTCCGTGAGAAAGTTACAGGTAAAATTCCACGCGATTTCACATTCCTCCCACCTCGATCCCTGTTCTCGCAGGTTCTGATTGGGAAGGTTCTCCTTGCACACGCGGAATGCAGAATCCACGTAAAATTATTTCGCTCACGCTCACACGTGATTGAACAGCTGAAGTAACGAAATCAAGATCTAGATCGCGCGACTAGAACTAAGAGCTCTGAACATATGAATAGATGTATGTTAAATAAGTTTAAGTTATCTTTTTTATCTTTTTTTGATTTATTTGAATATACAAATTGTTAAATTCACATCAAGCTGTACTAAAATGTCTGAATATGTATATTCAGGATACATTTTGCGTCTTTTAATGTAGGTGAGAATTCCACGCAAGCACTTAGATTTGTTTATTCGGCTCGTGTTTGTTTGAAACTATAAATTAATTCTGGGGTAAATTAAATGATCTTTTTCAGTATCGGCTAAACTACAAGATAAACACTCTGCCTTACACGACAATCTTCGCGCACGCAGCGGGTTTTAAGGCGGCATGGGAACTGCCGACTACCGGTGGGCCTCGAAACGTCCGGTCCGTTCCAGACATTCACAAATGCGCCGAACTCGTGTACGAAAGGTAATAAAAAAACAGGGTAATAAATAAATACTGCAACAGTTGCGCTGCATAATGCAGAAACGGCAGCAACGATCGCGTGGAAACGGGTAAGACGGCGGCAGCATGTCGGGAAACGAATGTATAGAAGATAGCGAGGGACGGTTCAGAATTGGTCGAGCAGAGTTGGAACCAGAATGATGCGGGTGGATTTCTGGCTGGCTGACCGAGGACTTCCGCCATCGCGAAGATCGAATAGCCAACGACGCAATGCCGTCGTCGTTACGACCATTTCCACAGTTTTTGGCCGCAGTTTCGTGGACAACATCCTTTTCCAACGTTTTATATCGAGATCGACATACGCATGCAGATGCTTCGCGCAATTTCCAAGCAATAATTACGATTAGGATAATTAAGGGCGCTGATGGAATAAATGCAACTCCGCAATAATTTCCGATAATATTTCTTCATTATTTCGTTGAACGATTTTATGACGATTATTAGGCTTCTCATTAATCCGTTAATTATTATTATTTTTGATATTATTGAGAAATATAGAAGTAACGTTTATTTCAGTATCATATTGATTACAATTTATTGATTTTAATTAGACGTATTATTTTATTATTTCAGTCATGGCTTCGATGGCCGTTCCTGCTTGCTGAAGAACATCTGTCAGGGGTTACAATACGTGAAGCGGAAGGACGGCGTTATAGGGAAAATATTAAAGCTACTTGCAGAGTGAGTACCGAAATATTAATATGACTTACATATCAGTATGTTAATTACTCTTGCTTTCAGGTCGTATATTAATAATCGCACTTGGCACGAAGATCCGCTGTTCTGTGAATATCATACCACAAATTGCCCTCTGCAGTTAGTCGGATTTAATAGTTTTACAGAGAGCTAGCACACTGAAGTATCTTACAATTAGAGAGTAAGTCACCGAGTAATTATTTGATTACTTGAGACAAATTATGCATCAAACGCAGTATAACATTGCTAAAATTATTGCACATTAATAAAAATAATAATTCTTACAAAGTATATTTTTTACTTGTATCATTAATAAAGAAGACCGAACTGCTGATTTTTTTTTTCGACGTGGCGAGAGGATTAGCTCATTACAAATTATGAAATGTTGCTAGTGACAATGTTGTAAATAAATGTGTTTATTGAAAACGAATGAAGTAAAAATACAACTATATTCAACGTGACATGAGAAATGTCATGTCAACGGTTAAAAGTTAGCGGTCTTTGTAGCGGATTCCATTTTTCATATTGGAATAAGTACGGGTGTTGCAAGAACGCTCGAGGACCTACCTCACTCCCACGATCCGATTGTTCCTGTAGTTATCACTGGACGGCATTATGAGAAATGACAGCGGTTAATGAAACATTTGTCATGCAGCAAAACCGCACTCGAATTATTCCGGGAGACCAGACACGGTAAGTAGTAAAATATGGTGGCACGTCAGCCGACTAAATGTAGTAAAAATATACGTTTGGCTAAAAGACCAGAAAGGAGAAGGCTCGAAAGGGGACGAAGCGTGTATACAAAAAATGAGCGAAAGGATATTTCTACCGGGCGTTATATACGGCCTCCGGCGTTATTAATTTGTCTTCGTAATAGCTGCCGCAAAAAAAATGTTCTCGTTTCGCGCATTATTTCTTTTCTCTCTCGCTTTCTCTCGTATCGTTCGTCTCCGCTTGTCATATCCTGCGACAGGACGATTATAATTGCTACTCGCGAGCCGCGCTGGTCCGGTTTCAGCGAAAAGCATTAATTCGCGGACTATCGCGCGACTATCTGACAATTAAAAAAATGCTCCACTTTGCGTCCGCCATTTGCCAGCGCAAACACATATTATTCAAGAGTCAAGCTACAATCACCGTCGTTACAATTACGCTAATAAGCCAAACTCGCAGTATCTAATTCTCCGGCGCGATAAACCTAACACGATGAAAATTATTTAAAAAGAAATCAGGTTTGAAGTTTTCTTGAATTTGAAATTAATATTATTCAAGTCTATTTCTACCGTCTATATTTTATTACATACGATTTGTAAAATTCTTAATTAGTATCTTGACTTAATGTAACCGACGTACATATTTGACCCCGAAAATTGCTTTATTTTTATGTCCCATATAATTACGTGAAAAATGTTTCGTTTAAAGTACGTTTCTTTGTCGCATTGCTTTTATGAAATTGTGTGGTAACAAGGAGACTTCTCCTGTAAATGCATTTTTTTAATTGCGGTGCATTGTTGCCCCACGATAGGTCCCGTGACACAGTCTATTTCATTACAAGCGAATACGGCCTTGCAAATAAGACCGCTTTATTAGCACGTAAATGAATTCGCGATGTAATTATTTCGAGCTTCGCCTCTCGTGGTATATATTGAAACAAGGACGTCAAAGGTGAATCTACCGGCGCAAATTTTAACGATCGAGAATATGAATTGTTAATTTCGCGTACCGGGCTGCTTTTTATATCGCGAGGAATTCCTCGCTTAATTTTTTTCCCCGATAATTATTTTTGAGCGAACGTTAACGAGGATAATCGAGCGGTACAGGTAATAAAGAGATATCGAGAAGTGGAGCGCCGTAACTTTTATTATAAATCAATCAATTGCTTAACACATGGCAGATGTAACATATAACTCCCCTGGGCGTGTCATATATTATGTTTCTACTTATTTCACGTATAACGAAATATCGGGAGAATTATAGTAACTTTCTCAATGGGAGGACCATCCAAATTCCTTTTTTTTTCCGCAACAATAACTGTGTGGAAAATTGTTAGAGCTGCGAAGGTATCTCGAAAGGGTTTTCGAAAATGGCTGATTCCTTCAAATGGGAAAAAAGAGAGGGGAAAAAATTGAAAAAGATTGCCACAGATAATGTCGACATTACGGGACGATCGCGTGCGGCGATAAAATACTCCGTTGAAAGTATCATCGACACAACGTGTTGGGGATCGATAAGGGGGAGGCGATAAAGGAATTTCTTCCCCTTCGCGCCCCTCCGCGGCAGTTTGCGTGCCACAATCGCGGTGGCTTCCATTATGTATACGTAACGTATCAAGTGCGTTTTCACGTCTATCCCCCTCGCGGGCCGGTCTCGTTCGCGCTCGGCAGCCCGGTGGGATTCGACGACCTCGTGTAAAATCAATCTGCGATTGTTCCGAGTTCCGACGAGCGATAATCGCGGACTGGCACGCGCGAGACAATGCGCATCGAGCATCCCCCACACGCCCCTCCTTCTCCCTCGCGTTCTCTTAAATCGCTCGTGCTTGTCTCCGCGCGTTATCCCAGCGGGCAGCCGTCGCCGGGATTGTCGCACATTCCAGCGGGAAACGCGATATAATTGCGTCTGGCGGATCCCGGTGGGCCGCGCGTTAACGAAAAGCATTAATTTAGAATGCTCTACGGTTTTCTTGTTGGAAAACCGGCCGGGCCGCGCGCGCAACTCCCGTATGCAATTAACGAACCGGCGCCGCGCACCTCCGCCGCAACGGGGACACCCACACAGGGGTCGGCGAAGAAAAAACAGAGGAACACGGTTAGCTCGGTTTTGGCATTATGTGCGCGACGACGGAGGTCAGAGCACAAAAAAATTCGGCCGTGACGAATATACGCGAGGGAGGCTTGCTGATGAATTCCGGCAGCTCGCCGGAAATGACGAAGGGCATAGAGGGTGAAATTGACGGCGAAATAGACCGGAAAATCTCAAGCGGAATTAAATGATAATTTCTCTGCTGCTCGTCTCGCCTGTTTATCCCGACGCGATATTTTGCATCATGAATCCCTGTTTGTATGCTCCATTGATAATTGTACAAGGATTACAAGAGATACATTTTTAATCAAGAAGGAATTAATTAAAATTTCCCTGAATATATTTTCAACATTTAAAAGCATCATTCTTTTAGTTTATTATGTATGTATTTTGTAACGTACAATTTTTAACGTACAACTAAATAATAGATAAATATGCACTGTTTCAATTATAAACGTTGAGGGACAAAGTTTCTTTCAAACATAAAAATATATCTTAGAGAATTTTTATTGTTTCTTTCTTTAATTACGGTTTAATAAATGTGCGTAAAATGTACAAGAAATTTAATGAGATAAATTATAATTTCTGATTCTAATAATAATCCGTTAATAGTTCGATCATTTCAAAGCTTTCTTTTGCGGGAAGTCCCACAATGTATCGTTCTTCTATCAGCCGATTAAATATTCGAGTCCTTAATTAATGAAGTATTTAAGGAGGAATCGAGGAATCTTCGGGAACTTTAAGAGCGTAGACTAATTATTGACTTTCCTTCCGTACTTTCTTAATTGCGGACACAATTTGCAGAGTTGTATCCGCGTGGGGATTTGCACGGTGCTCTGCATTTTACCTCGGGATAAAAGTTCTCAACGGTGTACATACACATGAAACAGTCGAGCAATACTGCCGACTGGTAAACATGCCTCAAGAATCGAGATGCAACATGCTTTGCAATTTTTGTAATTGCTTACAGAGTGATACGATTGGAAAGTGAAACTCATTCGCTACATAGATATGACGTAAAAGTGGTATTAATTTTTCACTTAATTACAATCTCATTCTTTTTGTACCATAATTTATTACCTACGTTAATTTAATTTACATCCTAAGAGTTAATTTCCTCTTTTGTATAAAAGTGATAGAGATAAGAGAGTTCAAAAGAAGAGTAGAAACATACGCGAATCTAACTTTATAGCAATTTGATTTGTATAAATTGAATTTGATTTAATTTATATTACAATAGTTAAAAATGTATTGTATAGAAAGTCTCACATTTAGGATCAAATTGATGTCTGTGACTGCCAGGAAACTATTATTAACTTCAACAGTAATTATTTTAGCAATTCAAAATTAAATTTATATAAATTGAAATTATACGTTTTTGGGATATTTCTCGATAGCAATTTTCGAGTGCTTTGCACAATATATATAAGCGAAATTTTTATTAAATATTTTTCTCTATATTACTGTAAATAAATGCCTGAATATTTTGTGACTCAGATTCGGAGTTTGGGCCGCTAAGTGGCTATAAACTTGAGCTACACGAACGATTATTCAATGAATAGTTCTAAGAATTTTGTTAAAATTGTTTCATATTTGTATTTGAATTATTCTATCAATATAATCAGAAAATTTACTACTAAATTCAACTGTAATGAATTTGAGGTAATTAAATTAAAAATACAGTCGTATATTGCTCTAATGTTTCTTCGATATCGATCACAATCAATATACGAGTGCTTTAAAAGGACGGAATATTGATCGCGTTATTGGAAAGTCTGAGACTTCCCATTAAAATTAATCATTCTATATCACGCTTTGCCATTAGATTAATTTTGTAGTGGTTGAGCTTTGTCCTCTGTCAGATTAAATTGATATCAGGATTGTTAATCCGTTTGTAAGAAAGAGACTTATGTATTTATTTAGAATAATCTTCATAATTTTTTTTTACAGTTACTCGTGCAAATTACATTTATATTTACCGCTCCTCATTGTGTTGCGTACATTCGGTTCAATGCTCCGATTCAAGGGTACTTAGGTACAAATGCCTCGCTTTCTTTCCGACAGCGATGCCGTGTTTACGCTCGTTTGCCCTGCCATTAAGGCGCGTGCTGTAAACGGGGAAAAAAATGTACCGCGGAAACCGCGCGCTCCGTGGCGGTAATAACCGGGAACGGTAACGTCTCTGTTCCCGGTTCTCGCGAAGCTGTGTTTAAACGGCGCACGAGTGAATAACACGCCGTACAAATAGACGACTGCTCCGTTTGGCCAAGGAATCATCGGGATGCGGACGCGAGTCCGTTAAATCGCGGAAGAGCACGCGATGTTTACCGTTAACGGGAATCGCCTGTCAAAATCTTCGTACTTATCGTCCGCTGATCGCGATCGCTAGTATAACGACGGCTATCTGTGATAAACCGCTGACGTCGATCGACGACGAAACGTATATATCGAATCTCATTAATTTTAATCACGTGTGATTTTTGTTATTAATTAACGCGCGGTAAAAGAGCTCGGTTCACCCGCGATATCAGTTTTCGTAAGTTTGCAACGGAACTTTATCACGTAAAGCTTTGTGTTTTCTCGTTGACGGAGAATCGTCTCAGGTTTCGGGATTTTCGTTCTTTTGTGACTTCGATACTCCGCTTTCCGTAGGTGATCACATATGATCCGAGAAAACGTTACCGCTTTGCCGTGTGAAAGGTGTGAAAGGTATGTCAGACCACCGGCTTTCTTTTCTTGTCGGATGCTTGAATTGGTTGATTTTCTTCGCCGGCTCGACGATCGTTCATGAGAACGCAACGGGAGTCGATGTCACGCCCAGAATCTTGTCGCGGCCTAAGAGGTACTTGATTTTTCCGCACGGTAGTAATTTTCAGGTAAATATGTTTAAGTAATGCTTGAAAAAGGACATGTTTAGTATCGATTTTTTTTACGTATAAATTCTACAATATATGTATATACAGTGTGACATTAAACAATTCCCGTTTTGAATTAATATTTAAGAACGTTTCTCCACAATGCAGGAGTTTGTTAGCTTGCATTTTAAACAAGATTGCATTAGAGCACTGTGTAAAAAAATCAAACAGTCGTCACGTAAATTCGGCCATGTACTTGGCAAACGTTTTGTATATCTTCGAAATTTTATCGCCTCCCCCAGATTTCGGTACACGGATAAAGTAGAAAAGTAAAGCGCCGCCCGCTCGTGCCCGCCTTGCAGGTCTGCGAAAATTTACGCGGAAAACTGAATTTGCACGCGGATGTTTCGTGTATTTTCCAGTTAGTGTATTGTCTGACTATCGGAGCGTACGGCCGAGACGGTGATTTGGTGCTGGGACTGACAGCTGCCTTAGCCTGGGAACTTCCGAGTAAGGTCGACTCAAAGATATCGAATTTGCTTCACCGTAGAAGCCGGAGCGTCGTATATCCGAAAATGGAGGCTTTCTTGCAATCGTGAGTGCGTCGTGCCGTTATTCCGCATTTTTCAACCGAACTTTCAGCGTGTATTCGGGTTGACGAGAAGTACATCGCGGCTGAATATGTCTGAAACAGTTTCGAACGTGAAAAAAATTTATCCCTTCCTTCCCCTTTTCGACCAGATAAAAATGTAAATGCGAATTATTACGCGCGTTGTCTGCAACGAACCATTGTGGAAATATAGACCAATTGTGGAAATTTATTCATCGAAACGGCGCGAATATCGATGCGGTAAGTTTACCGGTTAGAAAAACGACTTATGGTTAATTTTATGACGAACGTAAATCGCGACACGGCTCGGGTAATATCTGCATTCTCGACGCTTTACGCAACTCGCGGCTGTTACGCGTTATAAGAACGTATAATTACCTTTAACGGCGATCGCGGAACGGGATTGTCTCGAGCGTAATTGTGTTTTCTCGCGCGTAAGCCGAGCCGTCGTCAAAGTTTATGCTTTTAAATTAAACTTCATCGGCAGCGCCGGCTTCGACGGCAGATCCTGCGTGATGAGGGCACTCTGCGAGGCAGGCCAGCGAGATCCTTCCCGGATAGGCACGGGATCCTTCGTCCAAGAGCTCCTTCACGCAATTTTCACGTAAGTAAAGAGACTCCGATTTCCTTCAAAAGCATCGAATTCGTTTTTTCCGAGAACAGCGAAGTTCCTCTCGAATTTTAATTTCAACCATTGCAGCCATTACACTTTAATTATAAGAAATGAAACGCAAGTTTAAGTTAATCGCGCGGAGAACGAAACTGCGGGAATGTATAGAACAGAATTCAGAGGGGATCATCGCTCGGCGATGAACGATTCTGTTCGCAGATTGCCAAGGGACGGTGCCAGATTCGAGCGATCCGGGGACCGCGCTTACGATCGCGCATACGAGGCAGGCGGAAACTGCGAACGGTTGTATCCCACGTGTCGGCACTCCATTTACGACGTGGAGTTTTGAAGCTGCTGCGGCAGAAGCTGCGACAGACCTTTCATCGCGCTGTTCTACGAACTGCGGAAACGCAAATCTGATGGGAAACTTGCCGCGAAGCCGCCGCGGCGAAGTTTTTCTGGCAGCCGGCCCGTTCCGCGGCGATTTTTCTGCCTGACGTTTCGGTGGCTTCGCGCCCTCATTCCGCGACGTGTCAGACTGACGACTGATAAAACGGTCGCCGTTCTCTATTGAATGAGAAGAGACTTAGCTGCGTGCAGAGAGATAAGTTTGTGCAACGTTATATTCGTATAAGATTTGAGTTTATGTCTATTTGTTAAAAAAAAATTATTTGTAAAATATCTTTAGCTTAACGTGTATTAATTAAGTATATGTTAATTTTAGTTTTATTTTATCTACCTGTCACGTACATATTTGCCGTTGTGTTAGTAACACACGACAATAAGTGACACTCGTGACGGTTGTAATTAAGAGAAAAGATCTGCCAGTTAGGTAAAAAAAAATTTTATTAATAATAACTTTATTGCATACGTACAAAATTGTTTTATAATAGCTCAGATAATTACAAAATCATAATATATATAATATAAATATATACATAATAAAAACATAATATAATATATGAATAAAGCTAATATGAAATATATAATCGATAAGCCGTTCGCTTTTTTTCACATTCCACATTCTATTTTTACACGAATTTTTGCATTCGCATTAATCAAGTATGCAAGTATATGTCGCAAGTATTTACGCGGTTTTTAATAACAATACAGCATTTTTCGCCAGCCGCCCTGCACGTTGAAGGGTCGCGACAATAAGCGATTATTTAACATCAACGACGATTCCGGGATTAAATTCAGAAAGTTTCGCGCGAGGCTTTCGACCCATGAATATTCTATATCGGTCATTACATTACTTCCGCAACGTGTAATTCATTTCGGCGCGGTTTCGAATAATTTCACGACGTTTTGCATTAATAAAACCGTCGCCCGAGCTCTCGTCGATTTATGGTTCATTTCTGTAGAGTGCTCCGGACGGAGCGTCCGACGGTTGATTCTCTCGTTCGTTTTTTTTTCTCTCCTTTTCAATGGAAATAAAATATGCCAAATATATCTTCGTATTGTAACGAACGTCTAATCGATATGCGTTCGGCGAACATTTTGCATTCCTCATGCGAGCACACTCAGTCCTCGCGTTCCGTTCGTCGGTATTTGTCACGTGCGAACGCGGCAAACTAGTCGCAAATGTAAGCACATAATTGTATTTACTTGATGAAATTCTGCCGCGCAACTGTAAGCTTGTTTATTAACGATGTTTAACAAGGTGGCCCAGCGGCCACTTGACGTAGTACTCGTAACTAACAACCGGAAAATCCTGAGACAATGACTCGCCCGGTTGTAACGCTTCAAAGTATCGCGCGTAAAAGTAATAATTGTCATCATCATGGAAATTGTTAATCAGGTAATTTCAGCGTGAAATTTTTAGCTCAACTCGGTTATACACAGTTATTACCGCATTTAGATTACATTCGCGCGCGTATTCCGCTTTTGTTGCACATCGCGCTCGATATAATTTCGCGATACAGGTAATACATTCGGCCCAAATTAGATTGCTGGTATGCATCTGATTCGATAATATGCCGCGCGCTCGGTTTAGTGTTTATAGTTATTTTAGCCGGAAATTTATCAGAAAGATAATTAAATTATTGCGGGAACGTGCGCCGCGAGATCTAAAAACGTAGGAGGATAGTTAATAATTGTGTACATTGTTATCTGCGGAATGTTGGATATTTGTTAAGCGAGTAAATTGAAGACGACTCTTCCGGTATGTTGCCACGGTCCTCTGCAATAAATTAAACTGTCGCATGGTGTTTCGAAAATATGTATTGTTGCTCTGTTGACAGTAATTCGAATCAGGTTAATGCTTAATCAGCTTATCGTTTACGTTAGTAATCGATAACCAATTAAAATGTTAATTTAATAATTATTCTTGTTGCTTGATACTACTGATTACATTATTGAATTATTGTGAAATATTATTAGATAATAATATTTAGGCAATTGTGGATTTAAGTATCAAATAAATAGTCTTGCTAGATTTAAAGAAATTTAATAAAAAGAAGAAAGAAAATAGTTGAGATAAAGCTGCGAACAAACGTAATAGTTAATGTTATATATATGCGAAATGTTCGTGCGAAGTACTTACAAAATGTACTTTTGCATTAGAGATATTCCATATTCTTAATTTTATTATTCAGTCGCGTAAATTAATCTACGTGACAACGTTTTTATGCAAAATACCCAAAGTTTTCTTAAACTTTCCTACCTTCCCCGGAGAGAGACGAAGAACAGAGTTAAATTATTCTCCATTTACTCGTCATTAGAACACTAATGGAATACCGTTGCTTTTCGACACAGACGGATACAGTTCGTTAGCGTTTGTTCTCGAGAAACAAGCAACAGTCGCACGCACTCAAGCCCCATTCTGTCATTAGGATTAACGCTTTAGCTCCGTTCGATGGAGCACGAAATTTTCGTACCCGCGCGATGCTGATTAATCATCTCCGCCACTTTATTCTGCTCGGCGTTTTCGCGCGTCGCTTCGCCGGATCGGCAACATCGACGACGTTCACGAACGACTCGCTCGTGAGATCCGGGAGAGATCTGGAAGACGTTGGATTTAATTACCTGGTGTTCCCGCAAGGCAGCAACGTTCAAGTAAGATAAACTTTTATTTTACACGGTCGTATCACGCGTATCCCGATAAGGAAAACGCTTTCGCTCGCCGTTCGCGATTACTATATCCTCTTCGTGTCGCGTTTTCGTTTTGCGAATTTGTAATGTATAAACTTGGAAAATTGTAGGGGGAGTGTAAACGCACCTGTTACGCTCGCTTTTGAATCCGGGGGGGGGGGGTTGTTATTAAAATGAAATCTTCGTCCTCTCTCATGTTTTTGCGCGAAATGCGCCAGACAGGTCGATACGAGCTTGTGGAAGTTTCGTAGCGAGAAGTTGTATATTATGGCGTAACATAAACTCTCGATACGGTTTAGCTCGGGGGAAGTTTCATATGCTAAATGAAACGGAACTCCCTTTATGCGTAACGTTTAAAAAGACTCTAATAAGCAGAGTAATAACATAGAATTATAACAAACTTCATGAAAGGGAGGAATATTGATCCATAATATATATATAATTAGTTTCAAATTAATATGTGAAACGTGTCGCTGCCGAATTAAAACACGCACGCTCTGAATAATATTAAAATAATTTGTTATTTGAGCAAATTAATTAATATACTGTACAAGAGTTAATTAATCAGTAATTAATAATCTCTTTCCCCTCCTCTCTCTCTCTCTCTCTCTCTCTCTCTGTCTCTCTCTCTCCAGTTAAAAGCAATTAATCCTTATTTGTGATTTAACGAAATTTAATTTGACATTAACTTTCTTCCACTGTTCCATTACTTCATTATTATTACGCAGCTTGTAAACTGTCTAACCATCACCACGCTTTCGAAGCCCCAAGGAATGTTTACTATTGGTGTTACCGCCGGGCTGGCGTGGGAACTACCCTATAGAAATACCGTGCTGTACGGGAAGCCAGCCGAAGTTTATCATCGTCGGAGCAGAAGAGAGCTGTACCGTAAAGTGGAGCTAATGCTGAGAACGTGAGTAAGAAAGGTGGACACAAAGATTGGGGGGGCAGGGAGGACCGCGTTTCTCCATTTCTCTCATTCCGTATGAATTACCGACGATCGCGGTCTGTATACAAAAAAAAAAAAGAAATCACTGCGAATTATTCCAATAACGCGGGAAATGAAAACTTATCTTTCCGCGAGCGCGACGAGGAAAAATATGAATCGCTATTGCAACGATTACGACATACTTCGCCGTTCGGCAGGAAAATCGAATATTTCATCACTTTATTTCGCGTCCTGAGTCTATTTCATTCTTCTCTACTGATCAGATTTGTCCTCCTCCGCCCACCAAGTGGGAGGTTCTGATGGAAAAATGGTAATTCTATCGAACGCGGGCGAAGGGTGAGACTTATCGACGAGATTTTTGTTTCAGCGAGCTTGTCGGGCAAGTTCGCCGCTTCTCCCGGTTCACGAAGAAAAATAGACGCGCGAACCCCGTTATTGGAAAGCTGCCTTCTCATCTGCGTCGCGGAAAACGCTTCTGTTTCCCAAAGCGAGACGTCTCTTCGTTTAGAGGCGATCGATCCGGAGAAAAAATCATAGCGTGCCGGAAGTTTAAAACGGGCCGTCACCCGGCAACCGCGCTGACGTGTAATCGACACCGACCGTCTCTCGCGCGGGAGAACCTAAGAATCTACTCTCGCAAAGCTCCGCGTGCGTGACTGTAATAAACCAGGTTGCACCCGAGGTTGCACCTGGTAAATCCATATAACTCGCGGGACGAAACACGCGGGACGAATGTATTTCACGGCCGATGAAGGATGAAGTGGCAGGAAAACGCTTTTAAACAGTCATTCGTGCGGCGAGCGGATTAAGCGGCGCGCTTTCGTCGCTTGTGGCCGGAAAATGGTCTTGAAGGAAAACGACGCGATGATTCAGGTACGACCCCGACGACGCAGTAATGCCGTAAAACCGCGCTCGCTCGGCCGCTCCTGCAGCAACGTTTCCCGCGTTTCACAGCGGACACAGTTGTCGAGCGCTTATACGAGCACATTAAGCGGGCGGATTAAGAAGCCTCTCGCAATGATCGCAACTCTTCGCGCTGTTTCAAGCGTGGTTATTTTGTGCGATGAAAACGAGGCCGAGATTCACTTCGCTCGTTGCTCCTTTTAATACGGGATCACTTCTCGACGCGTAAAAAAAAAGTTAATTGAATCGTTCTTGTGCAACGACGACGAAGCGAAGTTACAAATTAAATGATCGATCGGTCGGAATCAAGGGACAGGTGATCGCGGAAGAACCATCGTCGGCTCGCACTCGATTTATCGAACGCTTAGTGGAAACAATTTGCTCCACTCCGGGGTCTCGCGGCAATTGTTAGGAGCAATTATATTCGCGCCGCGATTGAACCGGCTCTGACAGTTCCATTGAAATTGATAACATGTATTTTGATGTAATTTCTGACTTAATCGGATTTTCGACATGTCTGTCGTTGCAAAACGTTGTACCGATGCCGCGCTTCGCCGCGTACAAATAAATTCAGTTGTCACGGCGATTGTGACTAATACTATATGATATACGGGTGCGTGTATAAACATTGAAGCTCGTTCGAAATCGGCCGAAACGTTCCGAATCGTTTCTGCGATTCGAGAGAAGAAATAAAGGTAGAATCTCTCGCGGCGCCGCCGAAACACGTATAGGCATATACCAACGGGGAGATATGAGTCGCGATTGTTGTTCGACGCTTCGCTACGTCTGAAAAAGAGAAATTGCATTATTCGGAGGATGCCGCGTACGTGTCATTGCGACGCTTTATTTCGCGTCACGCTACGTCTCGCTTCGCGGATAGCAAAACTCATCGTTGGGATTGCGCGGTTTAGCGGTTCCGTGCCCGTCGCCCGAGCGTCTTAAGATATGTCCTCGCCAAGCAATCCGCGGGAGTAAAGGGGATCGTTATTCATTTTGATTACGCGAGATCGTGGCTCCATCCGTCATCCGGTCGAAGCGAAGATTACTTGACAAAACGGTACATGTGCAGAAGATACAGAAGCTGTAAGAAGAGTCTGCTATTAATCCACCGTCTATCTCGACAGCTTCCTGTTTGAACTCTGTCGAAATTTGTTAAATACAATAAATCCTAGATCTCGCGTCAATCGTCAAGTTTCATCAATTATATCATGGTCCAGCCGACGAAAGCTCGCAGCGAGATCCCGTCTCGACGAACTTCACCAATTCAGATATCAATTCCGAAGGATTTGTCTCGTCAAATTCGGGGCAAAATAAAACAGCACTTCCGGTTCGTCGATCACGTTCACCGCGCCAGGGAAATTCTCTCTTCTCGGTATAAATCACATCCCACGCGTTTGCTTAATTTCCGCGGATCGTCGGATAGACACGTATCCCACGTTCATTACGGTGGCAATCCTCGATGTTAACGCTTTCTATTGCCGACTGCAGGCGCGCGTACACATCAGTAAAGTTTCAGTTAAGAGTCGAGTCGTGGGGTTAATCCGGGGATGGCAGAAGCGGTCGGTTGCTTTAATACAAATTGTGCGGAGCTATAGGCTAATTGCCGGTATTTGCTCGGAGTGAAAGAGAGAGAGAGAGAGAGAGAGAGAGAGAGAGAGAGAGAGAGCGCACGGACAGAAGGGGAGGACTACGGGGCTCGGTTGTTTAGCAGATGTGTGGTGTGCGGGCGAGAAACGAGGAGAGGAGGCTCATTGTAAACCACCCCCGGGTTTGCAGTGGAGCTCGGTTTCGTGCTCGGTAATATCAACGCGCGTCCCTCCGCCCCCTCTTTACCCTCCGGTATTATCGCGGACTTAATGAATGGACCGCCGACTCTTGGCGAGCTCGACAATGATAACGAGGATGATATAATGATAAACGAGCAACGATCCTCGCTGCTCCCGAATCCTTCGTCCTCTCCCGTCGTATCTCATCTTCTGTCCACCGTGAAGCCAGGGAGAAGACGGTAAGGCCTGCGTGCTCAAGGCGATCTGCAAGGCTGCCAGACGTAAGCGCGAGGATGTCGGGAAGGGAAGCTTCCTCGAGGAGATCCTACACGCTATATTCAGGTGAGTCGTGAATTAAGTTAGATTATATATATAGATCACTGCCGTGTATTTTCGAAATTTTTTCACTTCGTTGTATTGTGCACTGAAGACTGGTTAAATTGTTAGATAAAATCTTGAACGTCAATTTGGCGGATGTTAGTTAAAGCGACGAATTAATGTTTGCAGTCTGCCTGGAGGATGGTACGACATCGATCCGATGACCGAGTACGAGCGAACGTACCACTTGGGTGAGAATTGCGACGAGGTGCACGCCAAGTGTCCAGGTGTCTTCTGAATTGCCGCAATCAAGCGTGATCATCTTACGCAGATGTGAAACGAGCAGCCATCACGAAGCACTCTCTCTCCCTTTCCCGGCCCTTCTAGATTATTAGAGCGCTTGAATTACACATGAATTACACAACTACAAATAGCAATGGAATTTAGACTAAGATTTATATAAGCAAATAGTAATAGATATGTTTGAAGTACTGTTTTATCTTAGCGTAAAGAGATTTGCGAAACTGATTATAACTGTAGCAAAATACTAGCGGTAGTTTGCAACTCTAAGTTCTAAGTTATTCAAATATAACGATATTAAATGCTTAATTAATATTTTTGAAGTTAAAGGCGTAATTTTATTTAATTATCTGAGAAATTATCGATAATGTTGGGTCGAAAAATGACGAAATGGCGAAGAGATAAATTTAACGCATAATGCAATAACGAATTTGTATAAAATTACGTGATGATGTAATATTTCAAAATGCATTTTAAAAACGTCCGCCGTGAATTTTATTTGATGTAAATTATAATCTATATGGACATACCTCTCGCTTTCTGCACAGCTTGTACTTGCATTGCAAGCTGTGCAGAAAGAGAGAGGCATGTTCCTTTTGGGACTGAGAGCGTTCCGAATAACTGCCGCGCCGGTCTTTTTAGTTGAGAGGTAAAAGGAGGTAAAATATTGTGGTGTAAAAGCGAATAATTGTAATCGTCGCTACGTGATGAGATCGACAACAATGTCGACAACAATGACGTCAGCAATTCGGATTATGCAGTCGACGTCGTTCTTGGAATTTCCTCGTAACTACCAAATTGCTCGGATTACAACAGAACTTTCAGCACAGAGTGGAGAGAAAGAGAGAGAGAGAGAGAGAGAGAGAGAGGGTCTTTAAAGTGCAAATTGCAGTATACTTTGTGTTGCAAGTTATTCACTTTTTAACAAATATTTTTAAATGATATTAATGTAATTGTAAAATTACTTTTACACAAAGCCCGTTAGTTTTTGCAGTTGTAATAAATAAGGAAATCTTGTTCTTCAATTAATCAGGAATAGATATATTGAATTCAGAATTTTATGACGAACCGTTCGATGCTATAGGAGTTGATATCCTCAAAATGTCTTCGAGACAATGAATGTTAATTGCAGATTTCCTTGAGTAATTTGAAGCTGATGTTTCCTCAGCGAGAAACTAATGTTCCACCAATACGTGTGTATATAGATTCGTGTAATCTTGCGGAAAGCCAGTAATCGACGCGCACGAAGTTTCGGATAGACTCGACCGCAGTGATACAACGCGACGTCATGTCCCAGCATTCCGGCAGGCAGGAGGCTTCAGCTTCGGGGATTACAATTCGCGCATTGACGACGAGACTCGCGCTAATGACACGCGACGTAAACTCGCTGCTACTACACGCAGCTGACGTTCTCATCAGAAGGGGGAATTGTATTATATACGATAGCTTACCCCGTCGATGCGCGTGCACAAACACGGCGTAATGCAATCCGTAATGTCGCGCGGGCGGCATCACGGATGTCTCGGTACTCCGGAAGCGCACACCCGCCGCGCGCGCGCGGCTGTGCGAAACGTGCCGTGTATTATTTCGCGGATACGCGACCTATTATTGCGAGCTGCTAAACAGACGAGCCCGCGTTTACTGATTTCCTTGATGACGACGCGGGATGTTCGCGCGAAATGGACTTGCGGACGTTAAGTTATGTACTCGAGGAAATAAACCGTTATTGAGGATAGACGCGTCGCGGAACGCGTGTACAAGAGATGCTCCAGACATTTGTCCCGGTAGGACGTCGAGGACCACAAAAGTCCGTCGCGAGAGTCCATAAATCCATTAGCACGCTTATTACGATGGCGTTTCTCTCCGCGTTACGTAGCGGTGGCGATTAACCAGCAGTCCCGGGGAAGATCGCTCGATTTTAAGTGCCAGATAAATCACGCGGTCTCTCGTAAGGCTGCGCAGAGTGGCCGCGGAGCAGTGGAACCGGCAGCGCGTCGGGCTTGGACGAAGAAGAAAAAAGAAAGGAAAAAAAAGAAGGAACAGGAGCGGAGGAGATCGAGGAGATCCGAAAACCCAAAATGAAATTACCTCGCAGATTGGAGCCGCGAAGATGGTCAGAGAGCACTCGGAACCTTGGAATTGGATGAAACAGGCAGCCCATTCCTGAATATATTTCGCGAGATTTACGAAATTTAAAGCTCTCTCTCTCGCTAGCGCGCCGGCGGTGGCTGTAAGGTTGGGCGGCGGGGAGGGAGGGAAACGGAGAGCCGATGAACCTTTCATAAAGAACGGCCGCGCTTTTCCGTGAGATTTTTCAAGATTAGCATGGAAAAGCCGGGGGACTCCGCAATGGGGAAGCTTGTCAGATTTTAATGGCCTACGAGAGACCCGGAGAATTAATGAGCACTCTCTCTCTCTCTCTCTCTCTTTCTTTCTTTCTCTCTCTCTCTCTTTCTCTCTCTCTCACTCTCACTCTCACTCTCTGTCTGCGTCGAGCGCGATGAATGCGGAAACGCTTGGAAATCAGCATCGATTTGGTCGTTAAATAATTTTATTTATGAAGAAATTTGCGAGATTATAACGAGACAGGCAATCGCAAATTACGCCGCCTTGACGCTCATTGAAACACTCCATTACCTATTTCTCAGTCCACTTTTTTTAACATCTGCATTAATTGCCTAAGTTTTAGAACATTCTCTTTTATATTGAAATATATTTTACAGATGCTTCGTACATATACACACACACAGAGCGGGATATTAAAACTTGACAAGGACTGAAATTTATTCTGCGCGTTGCCACCGGAAAGATATCTTACCGCGACATAAAATATGCCAGAGCAAAACGTATATGTAGTTCACGTATGAGATAGGGACGCATACCTTATCGTGACCGCGAGAGCAGTCCTCTGCACGAGTTTGCGTACCGGACTGAAAAATTACGAAAAATTTAACTCGCGTTTACGACGTATATACGTGACTTAAGCATTAGGAACAATTTTATGTTCGCGAAATAGATAGCGCGTCCCGTTTGCGGTCAATTCTCGCACGCGTGCAGACTGCGGAGTATACGTAAAAGTTATCGATGAAGAAATGTCTCGATTACAGAGACGAAATCTACAATTAATGGCATTTTACATGTCTGTCCAGAGGGAATATTTTGCATACCTCTGGGTACGTCACGGGTAGAATTTTCATTTTATTGCAGTGATAAAATACTGTGTAATAAAATTACGATTAAATTAAACTACATCTTCAGGGATAATATGTCGAATAGCACACTCTTTTACTTCATACTGTTATCTATAGCTACGTGTAGGATTATTAAAAATTTTATATCAGATAGGATTCTTTTACAAACGTTTTGAAAAATTGTATTAGCTTCGGTCAATGACCATCAGGTCGCGGTTAAAAAGTCAAGCGCAGATAACCGCTATAGCAGTGTTAAGTTGTCACTTAAATATCCATTCGGTTGATGAATTAGATCGTCTCTCGTCGAAGCAAACGTGACAATTCGCGGCGCAAACACAGGGTCGCCGTCACGTCGCCGTCCCGTGGCGAGTCGCTTCCGTGGCATGTGCGCGCAATGTGAGTGCAATATTTCGACGTAACCGCGAAGGATGTTCCCGGGTTTTCTGCAAATGCTCTCCGTCCCGTGACCTCCCGGGAGGGCTGGCCCGAGGCCGCGCGACGCGCGGAGGGGAAATCGCGATTTTCACCCGGATAATTCCGAGAAATGAGAGCCCCGTGGCCCGTCCTGATTCTCGCCGTGATCCTGGACCCGTTGTTGCTCCTAGGGGAGGCGGTATGTCACCGTAATGACACCAACTTAAGTGCCGCTGGCCAAAGGTCAGAAGAGACTCCGCACAGACGTAGACGGGAGCTCACTTTTCCAAAGGGAAGCGCCTTCGTGGTGAGTCAGACGGCCGCGGGTGTTCGCAACGGGCGGCACGGAGCGGGAGAGGGTTATCTTTTGTTACGCTGGACTTTTATGAGGGTGTCATCGCTTGCCCTGCGGAGGTCGAGATCGGTTAAATCAGTTAGATGGGTGGAGCTTCTCATTTTACCGCGATAATCTGCGCTTTTACGAGAAATCACCCTGAAAGCGAACACGTTCTATTAAAATCACATTTATTTGTGCACCGTATAAAATGTGAAATGCGCGTTTCTTTTGTTTTCCGTTGGCGATTGTGCTTTATTTATCGAAATTGCTTATTAGCAAGTATAAGGAAATATAGGGTATATCTCGTTGTAATTATTTTGTAATTATTAATGTACTTTAAAAAAAGGAGTTTCTATCACTTCGGAAATATTTCCCTAGATAATTATTTTTTATTTAAAATCGATTAAATTGCTTTTGTCGAATCTTAGAAAAATAATTTTATTATTCATATTCTGTATGGAGAGAGGTGCATACGAATTGCCTGTTTAGATGACCCTGAGCCTTCTAAAGGCTATTCAGCTTAATGAGCCTAAAACCTGGAACTTAGATCTGGAATTCGATACGATATGGCCTATACCTAGCCAGGAAGATTTGAGGAAAGCCTTGAACAGAAGACCATCTAAACTAAAACGGCGACATAGACGCGAGCTCTACGCCAATTTGGAATTAGCGTTAAATAGGTAAAAAGAAAATTGTTTTTGTTTTATTTAAACTACGTTTTATATAAATTGCTTTTAAAAATTCCCGAAAGCGGTCAAGTATAAGATTGAAGTATAATTTTAAGTGTCCGATGAATTATGCAAGAACAATATTTATTATTGTTAAATTATTTTGTAAATTTGAAATTAAAGCAGATCCATATATGGCAATGTTCAAGATAAAGAGTAGATAAGAAAGATCTGCTACAATTTAATTAATAAGTATTAAAATATAAAATATTGATTTTATAATTAAATATTATTGAACATGCATTAAATATTGCGGGCACGGTTTCTGATAAATGTATACCTGCAGGCATTTCAGAAATTTTGCTCGTGTTTTGGATAAAGTTGAACTTAATTAATTAACATTGGTTGTTATCTGTTACAGTCAAAACTTGCCCGGACGATTATGCATTCTGCGTACAATTTGTGAAGCGGAAACGGTACTAAGTCCTCCAGGATTTTCAATTATCGAGGATGCCATACGAATTATTTTAAGGTAAATATATTCTCAACGTGTCTTAAAATAAATCGACATTTATGAATTTTGATATTAGCATCTGTCGAACGACTTTAACTTTAACTTTAAGTTTATTATAATATGTTCACATTGTTGAAATTAAAATTTTTAAAATTAGAAATATTGTATGTTTTAGGAATTTCGAGGATGCTGATAATTACGACTGCTATGACGTCGCGTATCGAACGAAAAGTGACTGTGAGCTTGTTTATCCTTGTCCATTTTCGCTATTGAAATTTTTGTTATACAATTTATATACAGAAGAGGACGTGAGAGAGATAGCCGATTAAAAAGTCAGATTGATAACAAAACTCTGTATAAACTGTATAGCGTTACGTCCATTAGAAGAATTTATATTTAATTAGCGCAGTTTTTGTTATAGGCAAAAAATCTGTGATATTCCCGATATTATTGCGCGAATAAATACCTAAAATATACGCATTCGAAGTCGTCGACAAAATACAATGAAATAAAGTGGATCTATAAAAAAAAATGAATAATTCAATCTACGTATACATTTCTGTGTAATTTTTATTTGATAACTCTCGAAAATATTATCGTCAAATTAAACAATTATTTAGACACTAATTCCGGAAATATGTAATTTTTCCGGTATATGTATTTCTCTTTTGCGATGCTACAAGCCGCAATTCCGGCCAAGCGAGCATTTTAATTGAAAATTTCAAATTATATCACACATGAAGTACATTTAGCATTACACTAGTATAATTAACTGAACAGCGCTTTATTATTATTAGTTCACTAATACATGTAAAATGGAATTGGTTTCATATTTGAAATTATCTTCTCGATATGCTTTTATTGTTGGCCTTATTATTTCGAATATGTGTTGTCACTGGCAGTCGCGGCGAATATAAATTTCCTCCCGTCGTAAATAAATAAGTTTCTATTTCAGTGCTCACTAATTAGTTAGTCTGATAATTCCGTATGTTCCTATGGCAAAACTGACAAGTCAAAAATATGTGAAATAAATCTAGCAGCGTTAATCTAACTCTGTTTAAATTAATAACTTACAATGAGGTTTTAATTCTTTTTTAATTAAAGAAGTATATAGATTTTAATTTTATTAAACAGGATAAGTTTTTTAATTTAACCGAAATTTGCCATTTTCGGTTTAGTGTTTTAGATAATCGCTTTATTATTGCTCAAGAGAGATACTTGGAACTATAAATAATCCGTTTTCACAGTTAATTCAACAAAACTTCCCTTTTTCGAAAACACGAAGTTCCTGAAATATGCTCACGATTTACCGCATAATTGTTGCCGGGAAATCAATATAGAAACGAAAGAATAGCAATTAGGAAAAATCTTGCCGCAGCGATGATAAACGCTCTCAGATTCTAAGCGCAACTACAAGATATACGAAAGTGCATGTGTATGTATATACGGGCAAAGGTACTCGGGCACACTCACACACTCACACACACAGACAATACAGCCGGAAACGTTAATCGCACTAATAGTGGTGGCAATATTTTACGCTCGCGCCCAGCAAACGTGTTCGGCTCTTGAGCCGTTAATCGTTCGCTAAATAAAGCCGGAGGAACGAGAAGTCCGTGCGCGGTTGGACGTTAATGAATTCGACAATGCTCCGCGCTCGCCTAACTGCAATAATAACGGTCGTTCCGGGTCCGGGCTGGACCGTACCGGGAGATCATTCACCGGGTAACTCTCGTGGACGAGCACCGCAGGAGATCGAAATAAGTGAGCAGGTGAGCCCGAGGATATCCGCTTAATTCGACCACCGGCCCGGCCCGGCGCCGCCGGCCGGCCCGAAATAAAACAACTCGTTTCCATTCCATTTTCGTTTGCGTTTCGCAGACGCGGGGATTCCGGATATTGGCCGGAATAATTGGCTGCGGAACGGGTGTCTGTCGAATTCGCGTATATGATCGAATGGGGCTTGCGGGAGTTTCGTAAATTCTACATACATGATATTTAACACACGAGGGATTATTTTTGCGCGCAGTGCTTTCCAAATCGCGGTCGGTGTCCGCAGAAGCGCGTGTATTTTCGTGAAAACGTGAAGAAGATATATTCCGTAAATGTTAACCTGTAATTGTAACTATTATTAATTGTATAACGATTTAAATTAATTAGAACAATTTAACGTTGTTACTTATTATTTTAAATCTATCCATTTATCATTTTATTGAATCGTTTCGATAAAAGCGAGTTGCCGTTTTGCTTCGACGAATTTGCAAATGAAGTACGTCAAGTGTAACAAAAGGAGTGACGTTTTCGATATTCGATGAAGTCGCACGAGGGAACGGAGGAAGAAGAGACAGAGAATGAATGACGATGAAAAAGAAAGTTTGTCAGATACGTCGATAACACGAGGCAGCCCCAAGCCGATTACTCATGCTCTTGTCACGCGGAAGATCAAACGATACAACTTCCTACTTTTATGTAATTTTCATGTTAATGCATTCCGTTATATAATTTCTCACTGAAGTATTCTTTCGAGAAACTCAATTCAGCCAGCACGGGAACGGTTAACTGATTAATCTCTATTAATACTCTCTATATATTCGCGACAGCGAATTGCGAGTTTACGTTCCGGCAATATTGCTGGCGGATTGACGTACTTAAGAGCAACGCTGGCGTTAACGTCGCCTTTAAAATCTCGTCAGCTGTTATCCCAATAGCGAAAAATTGCATGTGCATCGAAAAGGACATAATCGATCATAAGAAGAATTGCCAAGGCATGCTTGCGTCCTAAAAATCGGTGACTGGAAAACGCACATTGAATGGGTATACGCTGGCACGCAGCGTACTGTGTTCTATGGGGCCTTCGACCGTCATCGATCGATCATTCCCCCGCCCGCCTGTCATTTTTCCACGGTGAGCTAATTTCCTACTTCCTAAAGAGCTTACCGAAGTGAGTTACGGGATATTTTTACCGCGAAGAATCGGTCTCTCTCCCGTCCTACGCAGGAAGTTCTATTTGCCTCGCCGCTACACGAAAATACTCGGTCAACCCTCGTCGGACGTGCCCCCGCGACCACGATCGAACGATTTTCTTGGACAATTTCCTGCCGCGGGGAAGATTACGTCAACGATATCCGCCGCAGAACTCCGTGAACCTCGTCATTCTTGATGTTCGACACACACACGCCGGTGTGATTAAATTAATAACAGCACAGGGAGATATCCGCAGCCATACATATATCCATGTATACATGTATATCTTCGAATGTTTCCTGGCGTACCGGACGAAATAAGCCTGGGATTTATTCAAAGTGATTATCCACTCATTAAATATCTATAGAAGATAATAATGCTTGATCTCCATACGCTGCAAATTATAAGCGCGAGGATTATGTTTCAATTTAATCGCTCTATACACGTAGATTCCGGTGCAACGTATAATTATCTCTCTCCGGCCAATATTGCATCGAGTCTCTTAATCCATTATGCAACATATGGTAATTGCAATTTTCTGTGACGATTTTCTGAAATACGAGATCGTCGTGTTTTTGCGAATGCGCGTTTCGAATTTGATTACCGCGCATACCCCGGGCGTAACGTTGAATCTCATTTTCGGTTGGGCGATGCCACGTGATTGTTTAAGATGGAAGCACGCACCGGGTCAGAATTTAATTTGTACGACGCTGTCCTAATATGTTTCATTTCGCGTATTGTCCGTAGTAAACCTGAAACGAGATCAAGGATGGGGGGGCACACTTGCGGACGACGTTTCTCGTTGATCAGAATAGATTTTATCGGATTCCAAGCTCGAATGCGATCGAACGGCCGCTACATCTAATCAGACTTGTTTCACGGGGTATGGTGAACGGGGTTGACGAGATCTGACGATACTGCGGCGGATACGGACCGATCGATTATTGGCTTTCATCGGATGCAGGGTATCCGATGTATTATTGTATTGGCGGAAAGTCGATGGGATCTCAATCCGTAGAAACAGACCGCGTCCTTGGTATCCTTCGATAGCTCGACCGCTAAATTATGTGGACGGCAAACCGGCAATCTTATTCTCGCGAAATGTCAATCATTCCGTTTTTATTTATAAGAAAAATCGTTAACGCATATCTCGCGTTAGACTCCGCGCGATATCATAGGAAATAACATTTAACGTCGTATACACGTCATATTACGAGCAAGTTATCGATGAGCTGATATTAACGAACTTTTACGTCTCGGATGTATTGTACATAAACAGTTTCTCCACGCGTCGATTCTCCGGCATAACAAATTTTGCAGCATCCTACGCTACACGGGCGACCGTGATACATTAATAATCCCGCGCGCTGTTGCAATTAATTGGCTGCTGAAGGTGGTCCGCAATTTGAGCGAGCGAGCAGCGTTTTGGCGTGATTATATATATCTGCGCCGAGGTAATAAGATCTATATTGGCAAGAATATCTAGCGCGGAGAGCAAGTAATATTCGCTGACAAAGCAAACGACGTACGTTGCGAAGGTACAACGGGATAATAAATTAACGCGATGTATATATTACGTAACTTTAAAGCCACGAAGCTGAGAATCATCGCGGCGAGATATCGTGGCGCGCCGTTTTCTAAATCGCGAAAGGAAGATTGCGCGCTGAAACGTGCAGCCATAAAAAGCATCCCTATCTTCATCTTCGTCACGTTTGATTCCTCGATCTAGTCTCGAAAGCTCCGAGGCTTCGACAAGATGAGAGAGGTCACGGAGAGGAATGCGACAATATCCTGCCCTGCCTGTCGCGATGCGGACGAACAAAATTCTCTCGGTGGAAGAGAGCGGGGCCAATCTCTCGCAGGATCCACGGGATTCGTGGCCGGAAAACGCAAGGACGGTGATCGATGTATAATCACGTGAGAATGTACAATTCTCCTTCCCCACGGTGTACATGCAACGCTCTCGCGCCGCGCACACGTACTCCTCTGCCAGGAAAGAATAACTAATGCCAGCAATTCGGAAGTTTTCCGGGTTAACGTTGAGGAAGAATGGCGATCACCGCGGAACGAAAAATTAATTTTGCATCCACGATAAAACGCGCGCTTTTTCGGGGCCGTAAGCTTTTTAACCCTTTATAACTTAAATTTTTTAAGTTCTCTGATGCTTTTAAAACATATTTATTACTTACAATTCGTAACATTTATTTTCGAAGAAATGCGTTACTTTAATTTTAATTTATAATCGCGATGTGAAAGAGTCTTGATTAAAAGTCATCAGAAATGTAAATAAAAAGGTATAAAATTCAGTAGGATTAAAAAAAATGTTTCCAAAGAGAATTAATATAATATAATAATTTTTCTAAAACGAACGCTCTCTTGCAATTTTTTGTTACTTGTATATCTCGATATAGATCTCATGTGGACACGTTAACTGGAGAAACGATTTTGCGCATAACGGGCATAGTGGATCTGATGTTTAATTCCGGGTTTAGGCGACGCGAAACACCGA